AGCAATCACTCTGCAACGTTTCCCCTGCACACAGCCAGCTGCAGTAGAACAGAGAAAATAATGCAAAAGCAAAGCACAAACAAAAATAACAACTCCCCAAGGCAGACACTTCCTGGCATGTGCTAAGCAGCTGTGCACAGCTCCTCTACCACCTACCAGCAACAGAACACTAAAAACCCCTATGTAATATACTATGCGCTATATTATGCAGGAGTGGAAAGATATGAATCAGGGCAGCACCAATCCTGCTGTGCTTCTCCTGCTAAAAGGATCCATGAAGCAGCCAGCAGGTGCCAAGGTCCTCTGCTCCCTCTCTCCCGTCTGGTTCACTACATATTTCTGATCTTCTGCGATGAGAAAGAATAAAGGGAGATTTGATATTAACAGGTGGAGATTTAAAAACTGAAGAGGATGCACATAATACAAATGCTCCAGGCATTTCTTCAGGTCAGGAATTCAATAAAATCAAAGAAAAAAATGGTATTTTGAGAAGGCACTCAAAAACATGCCAGCCTACTGCAATGAATGATGATACACATTTTGGAAGAGATACTAATGCGTCACATTACGGCCTACTGCAGTTACTAGCAGATAGTCAGTAGGTGCTCAGCACCTGACAGTCCACTGCAGCCCCAGCAGACAAGGTGCTCAGCTGTTCAGACTTTCTGGAAATATTGCACAGCTTCTTCTTTTGACTGGACTACATTTTCTCATGCAACATCCTTGACCCCCATGTGCCTTCTGGGCTAACTGAGCAAAAAGGGTAAGTGCCCTCTCACCCCACCACAACATAGTAGAGACACTTCTTAAGTTCTAGCAGCAAAAAATAGTTCCAAAGAGAATGCTGACAACATGGCTTCATGCTGAAGTTTTATTTCAATATTATGCAACTGCATAAATATAAATAATTGTGTTCAATATACAACAGTTATGCCATCCATAAGGAGTTTCTTAGAGAAAATAAGACTGCAAACACTTTATTGCACAGACCCTAACTTTTTTTTTTTTTTTTTTTCTCTTTTTGTAAGCTGAGAAATCTACAGCAGGAAGTCTACAAAGGAACACATCAGATCTACAATCACAGAAAGACTGACCAAGAAGCACACAGGTAGGAGGATCTCTAACAGCTCACTGATAAGGTAAACACCAACAAACAGGTACTACATAAACACACGCTTAAGCACTGCTACACTTCCATAACGCAGAAAAAACCTTATTCGTCAGAAGTGATAAGGAACTATACAAAAATATACATAAACCTATGCTGTAAACAAATAGCTAGATGTGCTTTAAAGGAAACAAGGACAGTTTAAAAAAATCCAGAAGACTGTACACTAGGAAATACCTCCCAGACAGAAATGTTATAATACTGAAGTGCATTAGCATTCATTTGTAATAACTGCCAAAGCACAGATGAACTGTAAATGTTGAGACCATTTCTCTTAAAAACTGCTCAAAAAGTATTTTCTGTCACTCACTAGCTCCTCTGTGAACACATGAAAGGTAGTATAAATGTTCTAGTGCCACATGAAAACTCAGGACTTGTTCAGGATTTTATCTTTCTGTGACAGGCTAGTTGCAATCCAACTCAGCTAATCACTGTAATAAAGCCTTCCCCAGGGGGAAATCTGTACACCGTCAGCTATCATGCAAACCTCCAAGTCAAGATTATGCTGTGCTTTTACAAAAATTTTAATAGCTTTTGAGACAGAAAGACAATCCATAAGTCCCAATGAAACAGGGAGGGGCTTAGCCCTAGTGTGGGTACAAACAACAGAAATAAGCAAAAATACCATCTTATTGATCCCGCTCATTTAAAAACACTCACCCACAAAGATATTTTGTAGCGCTCCTGTACATGTTTCAAATTTTACCTTTCATCCTTCAAAACAAACTGAATACCTCCACGCTAAAATGATCAAAGTCTACATGTTCCACAGTACACAAAATTTAAATAAGGCTTAGCAAAAGTAAAAATACAGTCACATTCTAGCACCAAATAGCTCCAACAGGTTCCTTTGTTACAAAAAAAAATGCTTCTTTCTTAATTACAGTATTTATTTTTGCATGCAAATAAAAAGATTACGTTATGAAATGTATGGAGCTACTCAATGCATTTAGAAATGAATGTGAAACCCAGAATTACTTGCTAAAAACAGCAAGTTAAGTCTACAACGTAAGGCCCCAGCTATGTATTAAAATGTATCGGATGTCCTGAACTTCTCTGAGGATATGATACTGAAATTGCCTTTTTTTTTCCCTCCTTTTTACCACAATTCGTAAAATAGGAAGGAAAAAAAAAAAAAAGCCACAGCTGCATGAAGCTAGTTATGCAAGCCTGTATGTCATAATAATACACACTCTCTAAATTGACTAAAAAACAGGGATGGATAAAGTACTGCAAGTCATATGCTTATACTTGTGCCTCACACTGTTAAGGACCTGAATTTTAAAAGCTCAAGGAAACCAAGAGAGGGTTGCAGCAGAAACTAAGCAAACAGCCTGTGCTCTAGAGTCTCAGCCTTGTCTGAGGTGAAGGTCACAGAATACACTCCCAATGGACAAGACGAGAACAACCATTTCACCAGAAAACACTACTCTTCCTGGGATGTGGTGATGATGCAGTGCTCCTCCCCTAGCTTTCATTATACCTATTTTAAGAGACGGGTTTTGTGCAGTAGGGAGATGCAGTTGGATCTCATGTTAGATCTGGTGAAGCAGTTAGCCAGATACAGTACGATCAAAATCTGATTATTAAAAATACATGTTACATGATTATTAAAAATACAATAAAGTCACCATATTTATTCTTTTCTATTTTTTTTTTTGTTAACTATAGCTAGGATTTTTAGTAAGTAAAAATGTGGCATATTTTTGGTTTCCAGTCAGACCAACATTTGTGCATGTCCATGCCAGGTCTGAGTTTTAGTAATTTCCATATTCGACTATGGCAAATAAGTGGCAAAGCAACTATCTTAAAAAAAGGGGAGAGTAAACAATGCAATCAGCAGCAAGGTATATATGCTACATTCAAATCCCAAACACATCACTAGGTATTTACAGAGGAAATCTTTTCTTTAACAGTTCTCAGCTGCAAAGGTATTTTTATACAAATACTATATGGTAACAGTTTTACCAGTTACATTTGGGAAGGCATTTTGAAAAAATGAAAAACAACAAAAAAAAAACAAAACAAACAAACAAAAAACCCTCCTCTGTCCCCTTGCTTTAGTGACATGAAAGCTTTGCTGCCCAAGGACACCACACAGTGCTGGTTTGAAGGTAGTCAAAACACTGACATGCTTTCAGCTAGTGTTGAAGTCCCATCTGCCAGGTACTAGAGTCAAGAGGACTTTTTGTGAGGACTGCTCCGTAGAGCGCCCTTTCCTCACCGCTGCCGGGTCGCGTCTTTGTCGCTGGAAAGTGCATTGGGGCGGTCAGGTGTGGTTGCTGACCTGGGTAGATCTTTACCTGCGTTCTGTTTTCTTGAAGCAGAAGGCTGAGCCTGTATGGCATCTTTTCCCTTTACATCCACAGTGCTAACAGAAAAAGACTTGATTTCCAGGTTTGCCCCCAAGGTTTGAAGCAGCCTGGTGGGTTTTGACTGCAACAGCGGCACTGTGCAAGGTCATCAGTGAAATACTTTTGGTCATTCCCGTCTTACCACTTCCTACAGAAGAGGTGCTTTTCTTACTCAGTTCCTTGCAGATGCCTGCAGAAGGCTCAGGTGAGGCTGCTTTAGCCTTCGCTGAAGCTGCATCGCTCTTGGCTGAGGACAAGGCAGTTGCTTCTTGTCTGCACTCGGAAATTGGCTGAAGGAGTTGGTGGCTTTCCCGGTGCTGCAGCCACACAAGAGCTCTGCCCCGTGGCAGCCAAAGAATGCTTGGCTGCCATGTGCTTGTTCACATCCTCTGGCTGTTTTTGATTAACATGTCCTTTCCCTTTTGAATCTTGAGAGCTTTTGCTACTTGTGGTTACTTTTACTGCTCCTTTCCCTCTGGCATCACAGCTTGTGAGGCAAAGGGTAGGCTCTACTTTCCCACTGTCATGTTGAACATAAAGTGCGTCAGTGCATACTTTTCCTTTGGGGGTTTTGTCTGCCGAGATTGTCTGGTTACTAGGGCTTCTCTCTACCTCTTTGCTCAGCAGGAGAGTGTCTTTCACAGTGGAAAACTTTGGAGACACAGTTTGTTTTTCACTGAGGTGAAGATGCTTTCGATCAGCAGATTCCCCAAAGCCTGCTGGTTCTTGCCTTTGCATTAGCTTAGAACTCTCTGGGCCTGCTGGTACCTGGCCAACAGCAGACGATTTGGGTTTGATTTCAGGAGTGATACTATTCGTTGGAAGGGTGGATACTGACCCATGTTCCAAACCCAGAGGCCTTTCAACCTGAACGTGTTCATTGCTCATTTTTCTCATAGAGCCTGAAACAAAGGAAGTATCTTGCACGTTTTTACTGGCACATTTCCCATCTTTCCAGGAGCTGGCAGACACCTGAATAATGGTATCTTTTTCTTTTACAGTTAGAGTGCATGTTTTTTGTGAATAAGTCTGTTTATCTGAGTGCTTAGGCTTAGAGGAACTATTATCAGAGACAGGCTTGAATTTATTACTGCTGCTTTCCACCACACAGGCAGCAGCAGGTTTCACATGTTCTACGTGAACATCTGCAGCACAGTTTCTGCTTACAGGCTCTTTCACAGCAGGGAAGCTTGAGGCATTAAGTTGCTGCTGAGGAGCTTGGTTGGCCAGCTCTTTCTCAGCAGCCTGAAGCCAAATTTCAGTGAGCTGCTTCTGATCTTTCTTTCCCGAATCTTTGGTGGTGTCCTTCTGTATAGGAGGACACAGTGCAAGCTTCCCATTTTTAGGATCACAGTCTGTTGGAGGTTGCAGAGGCCACTTGGATGGAATGGTTTCACTCTTTGACTCTGCAATAACTTTCTTGGACTCGCTGAAAATCTTCTGCTTTATGTCCCTCTCTACAGAGCTACTTGCAATGGTGACATCATTGCCTAGCTGCTTCAGTGCATCTATGCTATCCTTAGGTTGTGCCTTGGGACCAGCTGCCTGCACTTTTCTTTGCATCTGAGGTAGAATGGCAAAGTCAACAGAATGTTTTTCCTTGGTTTTGGCATAATTTGTTGTCAGGACATTCGAGACGGACACCTTCAGAGATGACTCCCTGACCACCTCCACCTTTGCAGGGAGAGGTTCATAATTTCTCTGGGCTACTGGCTGTCTGGTAGGCAACTCTTTCCATGTTTGCTTCTCTTTTTCTACAGCTTTTTCAGGAGTGCTTTGGAGAGTAGAAAGTTTGGAACATGTTTGGGTGATTTTAAGACTTTGATTCTGAATAGCGCAAGACTTGACCTCCACAGAATTGTCCTTTTGTTTTGAAGGGGAAGTGTCTTTCTTTTGAACAGCTTCAGTAACAGACATGTTACCTTTAGCAGCTCCACTAAAGATCTTTTTCTCTGTCACTATTTCAGCAGTGACAGAGGTAGCTGATGGATTTTGAGGACTTCTGCTTGCTTGTAGAAACTGGGGCTCCAGCATGTTGGCTTTGCTAGACCTTGAATAGCTTAACAACTTAACAATGTCCAGTTCTATGTGCCCACCACTCCCTTGGGGTACAGGGGGTTTAGGAGATGCCACATCACTGTTAGTACTCTGGCCTTCTGGCAGTACATACAAAGGTAGTTCAGACTTTGAAGCCTGTGGCCCAGAAAGTAAGGCAATGTCCAATGTTCCTTCTATCGGCTTCAAACAGGAAACAGATCTTCCATCCAGTTTATATTCTGATGGACTTTTTCTGACAGGAGACTCGGTGGAAATAAGGGTTGATTTTTCAACACTAGCTTCCACTCGGACATTCAAAGCTTTGAGAGGAATGAAAGAAACGGAGCTAATCTGAGCAGCATGTGCACTGCTGATAAATGCTCTACCATCAGCAACTGCAGTGCAATCCTGCTGTATGTTTATGGATCTGACTGTATTAAGTTGAAAGCATTCATGAACACTTGAAGTCAGTTTGGGTTTTAGCACTGGACAAACACTGTCGTCTTTTTCTTCAAAGGACATCTTCTTTCTAAGATAATCAATATTTGCAAGTTTACCATCTAATCTTTCAAATTTGACAAATTCTTTTGCTGATGCATTTTTATCTGTGTTTTCTCCCTTTTCATTTAGCGTTCTGTCAGAGGACTGAGGTAGCACATCTTGCAGCGTACATGGAGGGGAAATTCTTTTGAAGTCATAAGAAATGTGACCGAGTTCATTAAGTGGAGACCCATGACACAACGTCTGTGCATCTAAAGCAACACAGTTATTTGATCTTAAGTTTGCATTCTTTTGAAGGGTGTCTTTGAGTATGCCACCAGCTGACTGAGTCTCCAGAGTAACAATTTTTGCTTCAAATTGGTTTGATCTTTCTAAAACCTTCTGAAACGCTTTTTTGTCCCTTTCTTCCAATCTCAAGGTATTGAGATTGGGATTTTCTGACTCACTGGTAGGTTCATGTATTGTGCTTGATTTTTCAGCAAAATCTTGCTTTTTCATAACAATCTTAACCTTCAACTTCTCTCTGTCCAACTCATCAATGGATTCTTGCCTGCCTAATTTTCGGGAGATGGGGCGTTTCAAGCAGCCCTGCTCTGCAGGTCTGACCCGTGTGAGTGACGGTACATCACATACGTTCTCCTCCAAGCTCTGAAGAATTACTTCTCTTTGGGACATCTCTCTGTTCACTTCTTCCTGAGTCACTTCTAGACTGTGTTTTTGTGAACATAACTGTTTCTTATCACTGCCATAAGAGGGCGCAAGTTTCTCTTCAGACTGGACTCTCTTTAACAGGGGAGACCTTGGTGGCTCTGCACTCTTCGGCCTAACAATATGCCTCACAATAGTTGGAGGAGAGTGCATTTTGCTAGGGAAAGTCTGAGCTATTTTTGTGTTTCCAATCGAATGCCCTAGCAGCGGTGACGGAGATCGCTGTGGCGATGTGGGCTGGGGTGTAGGCGAAGGCGTTCGCGCTAGCGGGGAGAGGGGAATGCTGCCAGCTGACTTGCGTCTTCCTGATCTGTATCTTGGCCCACCAAGCTTCGGGCCCAAGCCATGAAGAGTGCTGGGTCTTATGTGTCCTGAGCCAGCCGGAGAATTAGGAGTACTTGAACTTGGCGAGCTACTCTGGGAAGAATTGGTACCTACAAAAAGAACAAACCAAACAAGCATAAAATTAGTAAGATTCTTTGAATCTTGTCTAGTAGCTCAGTAAGAGGCAGCACTGGCACTAACTCAAAAGACATACGTGCTGTCTGCCACGACATTCCAAGACCTGGAAGATTTTGAGTGACTGGCCTGCAAAAACTCATCATTCTGATCATGCTGCTACATCTCCCCTTCCTTCTCCATACTTTCACCTCTAAACGATCATTCCCTTCTATTTCTATAGAACAGCTAAAGCTTTCTAAAACTTCAAAGCAATGATCAAGGTTTTCAAATTATTTACCTTCAATAGATTTTACAACAACATTCACACTATAACTAGTGTGTGTAGCAAGTGGCATAAGAAGGGGCAGGTGAAACACTTCTGGGAGTCAGAAAGGTGTCATTACCCCATCTTTTCTTTTCAACAATGCAGCAGGATTTGAGAGCCCACGCTAGTTCTTCCACATAGCAACTACTTCCTCAGTTTCATTCTTTTATTTATCTCTCCTAAGAAATATTTTACTTTCCACTGGTGTCTTCTAAGCCTGGATTATTTATTATGCATTTTTTAATCATTCTACTTGGTTTAAGCACTGGACCAAATCTACCAGGCAGTCTCCTAAAAAAAGTGCTTCTGTATCATGTAAATGTCTTTGATTTTGCATCAGAAATGTTTTTCCCTTTCCAGAAAGAAAACAGATGCTCAGCGACTACCTTTGTCAGAATTGACTATTCTTGGCAGAGCATAACAGATTTGGGAACTCACAAGCATATGCTTCAACTTCCAGTTATTTTCCTTTACCCCCATTTCTTCCCACTCACCAGATGGGAAATCAGGAGTGGAGCGATAGCTTGGGGTGGGTGACCTGCCAGACATAACTTGTGCAAAAGATACGGTTACCACAGTCAAAGCTCTTGAGGTTGACACTGCTTCACCCTCTCATTGCTCTCAAAAAAGTAAAAATTATATCTATGTTTACATAAAAGCAAACCACACTGTATAAACAAACTTTAGAAAATGGCCCTATTTACTAATAGGGGGAAGAGATGTTGAAAATAAGTCCCTCTGTAATAAAATATATTCCCTGCATTCTAGAGGAACCTTTAGCTTCATATATATGAGTATAAAAATATATCTTGTTCTCTTAAGTTAAAAGTCCACCAAAACTTAAAGAATACAGTAATGACACTGTATTTCCAAAATACACATGCTTAGCATCAAAGAACTTATCTAATCAAATAGGGAATCCAAGTTAAGATTCAACCCTTGATACACTCACTTTCCTACCTATATCTGTGTGTGCACACCATGTAAAATTTTTAAAGGGGATTTTAAGAGAACTAATTTAGTTAAAATTGAAAGGCTGTGTTACAAATACAGTACCTCAGAGAAGATAGCAAAAAGTGTAGAAGGTAAGAAAGATTATTTTTTAATGGAATTATTATATATAGTCCTGTGTAAAGATACATATTCACCAGAACAAAAGCATTACTCACCTCTCTAAGCTCTCTTTCTTCTTGGTTTTCTTACTACGTCTCACCATTCGGCTCCTGTAGCTGTTTCTCCTGGCAGGCCCTGTCTTGATAGAAGTGTTCTCAAAGGGGGTTGTAGTAATTGACACTTTGTTACCACTCTGCCAAAACAAAGGCATGAGTAAATACAGGCCCACTTCACTATAAATTGAGGTTACATTACAAAAACAAATGCCACAAAACAGAATCCCTGCCTCAGAGAGAGTTGACTGTGGAAGGAACTCTGTGCAGAAGTTGTCTGGGTAATTTATGTTAGATTAAAAATGATGATTGGAAAATTCTTAAACTTCTGTCAAATGCCTTAAAATCCAATGGAGTCAAATTTTCAAAAAGTCTCCTCTATTTTAAGAACTAGTTTCAGGACAAAGAGAAATTCTTGTAATTGGACTGACCAAGACTGCAAGTTTCTATAGAAACATCATCTCCTTTTCCCACAAGGAAGAGTTGTTACTGTGCAGGAGTCTGTTCACTAGCCAGTCTTGTCTGCGGATACCATTAGACCCAAGCAATGGCAGAGAAAACAAGCTTTATTATCAGTCCCCCAAAATAATGAACAAATGTTTTTATCTTGTTCAAAAGATAAATGTCTAAGTCAAACCTTCTAGGACTATCTGCATGAACAGATGATATCTGTTAAATAAACTAAACCAACTGTAAATATGCATCTATGCTTGAAAAATCTGTACCTCCTGCCCAGCACTTGGCAATATTACAGTGAACTTCAGTTTTTAAAGAAATTCCAACAATTGAAATTATTTTATGATGTATCACATTTGAATAAACAATGATCTCCTGAACTGAGTCTGTTCTTGTAAATAGTGTGCAGGGTTGGTATGCCTCTTTTATGGAGGTTATGGAAAACTACAGAAATACTAATTTGACTAATAAATAGAAGAAAACAGAGCTGTTGTCTTGTTTTAGCAGCACAGCATGTGAGCACTATCCAAAAAAAACACAGCAGCACACCCAACTGCCTAAAATTACCTAACCACATCTAAGATGGGCTTCCTCCAAAACTTGGAAATTCCTATTGGTTCTGGAGGAGAAAAATAAAGAGTTAAGCACAAGTATATTCTGGGTCTTTCCTCACTTCTTTATGTTCTCTGATACTTCGTTGCCTTCCAATCCTCTTTTATAACTGACTGCTCACTTTGACAAGCAAAGCTCTGCATGTAGCACCATGAAATTGTTAATAATGTAGGAAACAGAAGTACAGCTGTCTAAAATAATTCTGATCTACTTTATTCTGTGCTGCAAAGATTACAGAGAAACTGCAATATGATAAGGTACATTTTTTTTCATATTAGAGGGGAAAAAAAAAAAAGTTTCTGGTAAAATAGGCCTTGGAAAATTTCACCAGAGGAAAAAAACATGAGAGATCTGTCACAGAGGTCCAACTGCAGGATCAGACTTTTGTTTAAGAGAAGATGCTTTGTGAGACATATCTGGCAATATACGATACAAGAAAGCTCTGAGCCTTAAAGATTACAGCAGACAAAATCCCATACTGAGGGGGAAATAAATTAAATATATATATATATATACTGTTTCCATTTTTCCTTATTTCACCTTAAAAGGAAATGAGAGAGAAAGAACTCACGTGCAAGCAAATGGCATCATTATCAAAAGCTTAAATTACTTCATAAAGGTGTGGGATTCAAGAAAGTGCTTTTCTGCACTTTTGTTTTTAACTCCCGAGATGGGGAGCCAAAGGCAGCCTTGTGTCGGGACCCCAAATGAGCTGTAGCTGTAACCATAGAAGTGTCAGCTTCTTGCAGCAACAAAAAAATCACAGAAATAAGCTATTCTCCAGATCTGTGCAATATTAGAGTTTGTAACTGAACAATCACAAACCCCGATAACTAACATCTGAAGGAAACAAACATAATCCCTAAATCCTTTTTGTATTCAAGCTGTCCAAAAATTACCTTTAATAACAGCTCAATGACTTCTGTATGAACAAGCCCATGCACTGGCTCGCCGTTGATATGAGTAATCAGATCTCCAGCTTTTAATCCTGCTTGATATGCTGCACTTCCTTCCTCCACATTCTGGAAATCAGAACAAAAAAAGAATATACACTAAATGGACTCAGTAACCCTCGTAATTTCAAAAGTATTTTTTTGCTTGTTTATTTCTGTGCAAACTGATAGCTTTTAAAGACAATAAAGCAGCCTTACATCTAGAAACAAAAATCCACCTGGCCATTTTGCTCTCATTTACTTAATTGGACTTTATCCTTCTATGGTAGGGGCAGGAACTGCTTCAAAGCTCACTGGAAACACTGTGCTTGCTTCCACTGAGGTTAAGCTAGCTCTGGATAGCAGGGGAATTTTCATACATGATAAGGAAGAGGTTCTTCACTCTCCCATGCAAAATTTCAGATTTGAACAAAGATTTTTAACATCTGACACTAAGAAATACTTAAGCAGTTGAGGCAATACACATCACATGCAGTACCGATTATGACAGAAAATTTGCAACTCCACCAGAATGTTCAGGACTATTTATATTTGGATTCAATCTGCCAAGCTTTCCATTAGAGGAAATAATAGAGCACAAAGGTGATGAAAGACCAAAACAAATTTAATTACAAATGATTTTTAAGGTACTTGAAATAATACATTTTAAGATATGCTTTCTAAGAATTTCAAGTCACATGGCTGCTATTGCAGGTAACAGTGCCTACATAGCTTTAAAAAATGCAATGTTTTGAAAAATCCAAGGTTTCACTTCCACTGCAACATAAAATTTTTATTTTTCTTCCCTTCCTTTCACTGATGTGATACGGCACTAACAGCAAGAAGTCAGATTTTGGGATTTATTGCATTATCAGTCTCACATATATCAGCCTTCAGATTCAATGTTCCTGATGAATTAATGCATCTGAGAGGTAAACAACATGAATGACATGCTACCTCATCATCAGCACTTTTATTTCAAAACATGCCAGAGTTGGTTAAAACGAAATGTCATCTGAATCTTCAAAGGCTCTGAAATGCTTTAAAGAAAATTTTCAAAATTGTTTTCAGCTAGCTGAAGTAATTTAGAACAATACAGTTATATACACACACACACACACATATATATATATATGCATATATTCACAAGTAAAGAAGTTGATCATCAATGACAGGCAAGTGCTGTTTTGTCCTTTAGCCTGTCCCATGTGGTTCAGATAACTAGTGACCAGGAGAGGAAAAATACATGATTTATTCATTATATTCAGCCCTTTTCCTACAGCATAGGATCCTCAAAGGTATCCACAATTCCAAATGACATGCACATTCCTACACAAAAGATGAGCACTGGAAATAAGCCTACTTGCAACTAGTGAAATACACAAGTCTGTTGACTTTTATGAATCCCTTAGCTGAAGTAATTCAATAAGTCCCAGCTATATTGCAACATGCTCTGTTTACAGTCTCTTAGCTTTGCAGTCCCTGACTCTCAGCCTAAGAGGGGCTGCACTCACCTCTGGCTTTTAAGCCATATCACACGTTTCTGCGCACATCAAAATAGCTGCTCACAAATACCAGACTTGCTAAAAGTGAAACTGAACTATGCACAGAATCAACATGTGTAGGTACTTCCCATTATAGGGCTTGCGTTATCCCTACAGCCAACACTAGTCTTCTGCACAGGCACAAATTTAATTCCAAGAAAGCTATTTAGCATAACATTGCCGTTTACACAGTAACTGTCAACAAACAGATATCCTGTGTACGAAAGATCAAGAACAAATATCATTGCAGTCTTCTGTGGTTATAAACAGCCAACCAAAAATTATCTTACCCAAACAATATGATGCACGGTGTAGACATCGCTGTTGCCCACATAAACCCTGATCGCTCGGATTGTGAAACCATACTTCTTGCCCGAGCTGTGAATTACTATCGGCCGATGAGGACTTGCAGCAGCAATTGAAGAATCACGGCTAGGAGAGGAATCTCGGGAGGATGAAGGATCTGATGATGGGGAATGAGGAGACATAGGGCTTCCCAAAGGAGAAACACTAAACACTTCTAGAAGAAAAAACAAGCAGACAAAACTGTCAAGAGTACATTCTGAGCACACAGAAACACAGACACAGAATAGTGAACCCCCTTAAAGTTTTATGACACCTTTGTGCCAAATTAATTCACTGCATTTGTATCAAGAACCTTCTCCTCACTCAGTGGGTCACAAGCTTAGCGTATCTTGGTGTATCACGAACTTGACTGACAACCAGATCTTGGAACTAAATTTCTTCCCCCACAGCTTAACCTTTTTGCTTTTTTAATGCCAGTTTTAACTCATTAGTTCCAGGATGCTTTTACCTTTCAGCTAGGACACACACTCATCAGCAACTCTGCAAGAACAATCCTTGGTCCTTTTACCAGCTAATACACTTGAAAAGAACAGCAGAGTTTGGCAATACTGTGAATATGCTATACCTCCCTGCCCACTCATATCCAGCAGCACTAAAGTAAGCATTAGTTACTTCATTTTCTGGATGCAGTTTTATATATAGTAAAAATTATTGTAATTAAACCATAACATCTAGTTAGTACATAGGACATAACTCTCAAGTTGTACCAAGCCTCAATTCCTACATTCTGCCATTTCACGTAAGCCCATGAGAATTTCTTGCAACAACAATATAAATAATTTGATTTCCTTGTTTTGAAAGCACTATGTGCTCCTGGTCATGCTAATATAAATGCAACTGCAGCAGCATAAAAAATATTTTGGTGACTGTAACAGGATGACAGTTGTTGAAATGAACACAGTCCACAGAGATTCCAAGTATGGTTTCTATGCCAAGTGATATCATGTGAGGGAAGATATGCTTTGATATGCTGGGCATTTTTTTCATTGCCAACTGATTGTCCTCCAAGAATTCAAGATGAGGCAAAACAGTCCTCTTCAATCAGGACTCAACATTTTCCTCTTGACTTATCTTACTAAAAAAAACCAAACACTCATGGCCAACTGGTGGTATTACAGTTATGAGAGAAGTCTATGCTTTTCTTTGAATTGGTAAAGAAGGGCAGAAGCCATTATCAGGTGCATCAGAAATTCTTGCAGTAATAGTCAAAAGATTGGCCTTTTACCTCCCCAAGTGCTTGAAGACATGCAGAACAGCACAGTATTTGCTGACCAAGGTATCATGGAGAGCAGACACGGTGCTACAGCACACGTGCTCTACACCCTGGACATGGGTGAAGTTTGGGAAGTCAGCTCATGAGATAGCCACAGCAGCCCTTGAACACTGAGCACAGTTTTCCCACTCACCTGAGCACCCGGCAAAGTTATGAGTGTGTGTCTTATCGAAAAGGTAAACACAACTCGCTGAAATTATTGGCAAAGCCACTCTTGAACACCTAAAGCAAATGCAGGGACATGTTATCAGACCTGTAGATACTTAAATATTACCCCAAATGTCAAAAAATAACATACGCCAGTGCACAAAGTTAAGACCTAATCCCACTTTTGAAGAACTCCCTCACAGTTTAGTGTGTTTGGACTTTCATTCTGAAACATTACAAAGTGAAGGGCCAATGGTTCACCTGGAAACATTCACCACTGCTATCATCCTCTACTTATTTACAGCAGTATCTCTGGCTTCACATTTTGAGCACTCCCTGTAGTCCAAACAGGAGCCTGCAGGCTGCTTCTTCCATCTTTGGGACACTACTGAGCACCTGACCTCAGAGGAGATGTGAAAGCACTTACCAGGCAGGGCATGCTGCTAGGACAGATTGTTGGCTTTCCAGGGAGCAGCACAACAGAGCTCCTTGGAACTGCAGTGCCAGTTCCACCAAAGGATGACCTGGGACTGAAAACATGCATGTGCTGTGCAGGCACATGGCTGAACATGAAGCAGCTCATGGCTGGGACTAAAGGCTGCCTGCAAGAGAAGGCCCCTCAACTGTGAACTGACCATTCTAGCTGACAGACGAAATGGGACCATTCAGTCGCATGCAGGAACACAAGAAAGTCTGTGACACAGAATCCATTTTGGACTCTCCAAAATCTTGAATTTACATCATAAAACATGCAGTAGGCACAAATCATAACACTTCAAACTAAGATTTCTCTGTACCTCCTGGAATCATGAGCGATAAAGCACTTGCAGAACAGGACTTGGTGACTTTTCCAGAGATGATCTTTTTCTCTGTGCTTTCTAATTGCTGACGAGCCATATGAGAAGCAACTTCACCAGGTGGCTTTGAGGAGTTGTCTGCAATGTCCACACTCTCACTTCTTCCATTTATTTGATCTAAGTGCTCTGAAAAACTGCCAACTGTACAAAGAAGGGATAAACGCATTGAGGGAAACTGGGGGTCAGGGAGGGGAAATGACAGAAAGGAAAATTCCCACCTCATAATTATATTAACAAGTCTGTAAAACAACATTGAGAGAAAAAAAAAAAAAAAAAAAAAAAAAAAAAAGCAGTTCTTCCATGAGCTTACAGAGGGTAACAGAATGAACTGGAGCAGCAGGGACTGCAATGGCTTGTAATCACTGACTGAAGCAAAACGAAGACAAAAGCTGATGCAAGGTTGGTAGGTCAATATGCAACATTCACCTTACATGACTTAATCATTCCTAATCATTCATTCTGCATGTGACCTCCTACTAAAGATAATGAGAGGCTCCAATGTTATTTAAGATGCTATCAGCTTAATAACTTTACCTAAATCGTTAAAATATTAACTCTATTTTTAATTATCATTTTTTGCTTTTGTGCTTTGAGTGGTTTTCTATCACACCTAACCAGAGTAAGATATCTGGCACCACAAAACTCAGTATTACAACCACATTGCTGTCAGTTTACTGTAAGTAACAGTTTTCTTCAACAGTGGATGGAAGGAGGACACCACCACTGTAAACAGTTAAAAATAAATAAATAAATAAGTGGCTTGTACCACAGAAACAACCTGCAAAAGATTTCTTCAAAGATTCAATATGTCACAGGGAGGTATGAAGCAAGCACCAAGCACTTTTTAATTTGTCTTTGAGCTATGTCTAGTGCTGTTATGTTAATGCCATCATCATAATTGCAGAACTATACAGCAACACAAGGACTTTGACAAGGGTAGTCAGTACAGATGGTTCCAGTTACACAATGGGATGTGCTTGCAGAAGTTCTCCCAGAAAAAAAAGAGGAGGGAGGGGAAAAGGGGAAAGGCAGACTGGAAGTCAAATTAGATGTATGGCAATAGAAAGGAATTAAAATACAAAAGCTAAAAGAGACCACTCAATGAGATGCTTAAAAAGAAGTAAGCTAGAGACAGGTATATGTAGGAAGGATATTATCTGAACCTGTATCTGTATCTAAATCAAAGTCTCCTCTGAAAGAACAAATACAGCATGGTACAGAGGTCCTGGATCCTCCTGAAATACACACAAATACTTGTGCTGTAGGTGTGCAAAAAAAAAAAAACAAAAAGAAAATTATTATTTAAATAGGGAGCTGTTTACAAAACTCCTTCCTAGACTTCAATGACTCAAAGACAACCTTGCCAGTTCTAAAAGCTTAAGTCACTGAAATGTCTCAATTAAAACACACACAATGGTGTAAGCACTGAGTGCCAGAAAACAGCAGGACAGATCAGTTGGAAAGACTTTAGGATGATCAGCCAGATGAGGAAAGTTGTAAAAGTGCTGCTTTAAAAGCTCAAGGGATCTAAGTCTCCATTTCTCCACAGAAGGATCCTGCACAGAGTCACCATGTCATTTATTTGCATAGCAAAGTCTCCAGTCAGTGAAGTGACACTACCTGTTGGCATTTTCAAAGATGCCGACAACTTTCCTACAGGTATTATTACAAGACTTCATTAGTTTAAGCCGGTGCCCAAACCAAAGCCTTTTTGGGACAGTTCTCTCTAAAGCAGTACTGAAATAAATCTATTTCTTCTAAATCCTTGAATGCTAGTGCAAAACCCAGAGGAACCACAATTGCTTCTCATGTCATCAGTCAGAAGAGCCACTATAAATTACCTGAGAGCGTGGAGCTGCTGATGGTGCTTGCTGGAGTGGTTACCTCGGGTTCATCTGGCACTATTTCCTCATTCACAAACTCAGCTTTTTCCTGTTCCACCTGGGGTCCCACTAGGCAAGTGGGATCATCCTGTTCTCCTTTGGCCGATACAGCCAGTTTTGGGAGCAAACCAGAACTGTGTCGCTGCCGACCACTCTCAGTATCAGAGGGGATGGATGTGGATATTTGTTGGCTGCATTAAAAAAAAAAAAAAAAAGAACAAAACAAAAAACCCTCATGCAGTTTTTGAGATGCAGAAGCCAGCTAACAGACAACCAAGATGCAGACAACAGCTCCAACACTTCTTTCTACTTACATTTCAGAATATTCTGAACTCCAGCTTAAAGACTCCACAGAAGGCAATGTTATACTTTTTATTTTGTCTCCTGCATCTTCCTTTTCTTCACTTTGCGTTTGAGCGACTCGATCTGTGCTACTAAAAACCTATTACACACACGAAAAAAACCCAAACAAAAAACCCACAACTCATCACTGACATACTTGATATAAAAAGATACTCAGGAAAGGACATTGTCCCTGGTATTCTGCATGTTATAAATGCTTGTATGGTATTTAAGTCCATAAACTCCAAGTGTCTGCAGCCTTTTTAAAATTCCAAAAATTTGTGTTCTAAAAACGCTTTCCAGTTTTGCTCTCTTGACTCCTTACATACAGGGTCATCAACATCTGTTTTTTTGTTATGAATTCATGAGTGCTCTTGCCATTTCCCTGTGTGAACCATGAGCCTACAAACAAAATCCATGCCTTTGGGGTTTCCAGGTCACAGAATCAATGTACATCTTGTATTACTCCTTTACCATAAAGTCAATAAGAAAAAAAAAAATCCCTAAGCTACCTAATTAATGTTTAGCAGTCGCATATGGAAAGGAAGAAAAAAAAAATGAACATGAATTGACTATGAAGATAAGAATAAAATTACTTTGCCAAAAGATGCACAAAAGATAATTTCTAATCGCTGGAAGTCTGTTGTTTAGGTAGCTGACAGAATATATACAGTAACTGTCAGCTGCATATTATACAGATGGAGTAACAGCCTGAGAAGCAATGATATAATGACATTAATATACCAAGCCATTGCTGCAGGTATGTTACTTTCGAAGGGATAGTTGATAATTCTGAAAAGGAAAATATTTATTACTTTAAATTGTGTATCTCTATTTGAGCTAGGAACATGCCACCAAGTCCAAACAGGCAGTTACCCTGAATGAGGACAATCAGATTTGCAGGTCCTGTCTCTGTTCCTCCATGCTACCTCAGATAGGTATATGCAGAGTCAGTATAGACTGTGTAGTACTGCAGTGTCAGTATAAAATTCATCAATTAAAGAATTAGTCAGGATGAACAACCATATGCTTTCAAAATACCTTTTCAGCTCCTAGAGCAAGTTAGAGGCAAGGCTTATTAACAGAAAGCATTTGAAAAATCACTACTGGCTGCTCTGCAGGAGTAAAAGCAGACTCATTATAGACTTTCAACTTCTTAATTATTTCCTGCCAGTTTTCTTCCACATTATTTGAGCCATATGTATTACATGTTCATTCTGCTCTTGAGGACAAACCCTGCCCAGCAATAATTAGCTCTCAACTAATACTAGAATATCCTTCATTTTCAACACTCAAATTTATCCTCAGCCCACATAATTCAAACTACTCCCTCAAATCCACATTTCTTCTTGGCAAAATTATTGGTTTGATTTTTACTTGTAATCTACTGCCCCTTAAGATCACTTCTGCTTGAGACAGTAATATAATCTGTGCTATGCCTTTCATCACCTGCTAGATGCCACTACACACCTGGAATATCAATGAAACTATGAAGAAAACCAGGTAAGTAACATGGCTTAGTATGGCACAGTTTCTGTAAAGTTTCTCTTAAAATCATTATGTCCCTCACCTCAGAAAATATTAATCCATTTATAGAAAGGATATAATCATCTATTACCTTCTTAAGTATTTGGGGAGGGAAGGAAGGACACCCTTTCCTAAAGAATCCTCCCATGTTCTGAATTAATGGTATTAATTCTCACTGAATGCCAGTATACTCAGCTTCACGGAGAAGCAATGCCCTATACACGTCTTCCACATCTGCCATTTCCAAACTCTATAAAAATAGCAATTTTTTATTATATGCACACTGAATATCAACACTACAACAAATTTTACTTACTTTTGAAAACCTGTGTGAACATGAGGAAAACTGTCTAATTTCCAAATTAAAATCTTCATCATTTGTATCATCTTCTTCCTCAGTTTCCATGTGGTGGTATTTCTCAGAACGAGCTACAGAAAAGAAATTTAAATTATTTCAATTTACCAGAAAGGAAGTATTAGTATTAATTAAAAGCATTATTATTTTTTTAAGATTATTTCTTAAGAAAAATTCCACAGTTGCCACTGGTTCATAAATGGTATTTTCAAAGCACAGGAAGCAAATGTAAAAGTGAAAAGACAGTGATTATTTAATAAGGCGTTCACCACATTTTTTAATACAATCTAACACCTACTGTCAAAATAACTTGTGTCATCCTCAGACTCCAGCTGGGGAATAAATTCTGCTTTCTGCCTCAGCAGACTATTCCAGTCCAGGCTGCGGAAGAACTGATGCTTCTTTACTTCATAGGCACCACCTAGGGGAGCCAGAGAAAAATGTAGACTGTTAATATTAACCACAACCACTGACATTAAAGCAGTTAAATTCATGGTCCAAAAAAATGCAGGCCTCGGAAAGGCCTCAGGGCAGGCATGACTACTGCTCATTTCAACTGGAGTGGTCCAAACTTGTTGGAGCACCTCCCCATCCCTCTTCTGCTGTTGCCATCTCTTCAACAGCAGTGTCTGTTTTTCCTTCTTTCCCCTTTTAACACTTATATTTTTCTGAGTAAGCTAATTATTAGGCATCTGCTACACATTAGTCTGAAGCAAAAGACATAGCAGGAGTAATAGCCAACATGCAAATATGCACAACAGAAAAGTAAGTAGAAGATGGGAAGGAATTAAGACTGATTCTCTCCTTAATAGTCATTGATGACAGCACCATCACTGCATGAGAGCTCCTTTTAGCACATGTTATATACTGAAGTAATAGGCAACTTCAATGGAACTGTCTCACGATTGCCTAGTTGTTATAATTTGCTTTAAACAACTACATTATATTCAAATTAAACAAAACTGTAAAAACACAGTGAAGTACAGAAATTTTTATCTTGAGAGGCAGGTAGGGCAGCTGCTGAAAAGCGTAAAAGTAGCTCAGAAAATGAACAGACCAGCAACAGTAACAAGAGGAACTGCCTGCAAATTGCTCCAGTGCATAAACCTGCTTACTGGTTAGGCAGAGAGGGGGAGAGCCATGGAGAAAGCATCAGGTCTCCAAGACCGGCCGGTAAGTCAGGCTTGTTAACATTCCCAGGTTGCATTCTTTACTTTGATTTGTTTTCAATTTATCATGGAAAAATTCATTGAAGGCCAATCCCTCTAAATGAGAGCAAAACCCACATCTAATGGTACATAACTAGCCAAGGAGTGAGCTGTAACAATGGATTCTGCCTTTTCTGAACACTAGTGAAATAGTACAACAGAACTACTTAATTCTGGCCTAGATATCAGACATTTCAAACCCAAAGATCCCATCCAGATCCCATCTTCTATCATGAATTGGTGCTACCAAAATTTTCCTGCTACTTAAAATCACCATTTCTCCATCATTTTCATTCTTGGAAAGTAGCTGGGCATCGTTGTTTCTGCCCCTCTCTCCAATTCTCATCCTGCTCCATCAGCTAGCAAACTCTTCAGTCCTACATAGCCACATGGTGCTTTCACTAGCCAATACAGGCTCATTACACCTCATATATCTACCAGGCTCTACTTGGAATTGAACAAGCTTGGCACTGAATGAACACAGCAGAATAAGCAGCTTGTACTCCAAGTGATACCCATTTATTTCCTTAACACTCATGCTTTTGATTTGGTTCATTTCTGAATAATTCAAGTAAGCCATCACCCATCCTAGAGCAGGAAGGAATTAATTTGCCAGATCGAAGTGCTTCTGGCAGAGTTGGTTGTGTTTCAATCCCCTTTAGTTATTTAATAATGTGTTCATGAAGGAACTCCTTCAAATGGTTAACTAGATCTTAGAGAGGTTTCTGTTCTACTCATCAGGGCAAGAAAAGAGTACATGAGAACCACACATGAATGCTACAAGATTACAATCATCATATTGTTAAGCTCCTTTTACAGACTTGAATTTGCAAAATAACTTCTGCTATAACCACGTGCTGCCAAGTGAACACACTGACAAATGCTTCCTGGCAAAAAAAAATACAAGAACAAAAGGCCCAGCATGCTGAATACAGAAGCTATTTCTAGTATACTGAACCTAACCTGTTCCCAGTCTTTCCAAAGGATTTTGTCTGAGCAGCAGGGTAATCAGATCCTGGGCATCTGGAGGTGGCGCTTCATCCTTTTCAGGCCAGTTGATTTCATCTAATAAGAAAGAATGTCATTTGTTATTATTAAAGTTTGGTCCCAACATCTATCAAGAGCTATATGAAAGCTGTCATACCAAGTTAGCAGTAGTTGGAGTTAAGACATCTCCTCAGTAGTTTTCTGTTGCGTACTATTTTTGACTTTAATACACTCTATGCCTTCTCTATACATCTATTTTTATGTCCCCATTTTCCTTGCAGGTATCCTTTAATCCAAAACAGTTTTTCACAGTAGAATATAGCATATGCTTGGCTCATGGAAAACCCTCACAAAACACTAGTGACTTGTATAATGTCCCTCCTGCCCTGGAAGAGCAACATGGTTTAAATGCAAGCTCTGTTCCTGGAAACTGGTGATAAAATGGACACAGCTGACCTGACCCAGCACTCATTGCTCATATTTATAATCTTTCTCTAATGTTAGTAGCTTCATTGAAGTCATTCCTCCCACGACTAAGAGTAGAGGTGTGGGACTCTGTGGGCTGGAAAGATCCATGCCAATGTAGCTTTTTTTCCAAATCTCCTGTACTTTAGAGAAAAAAAACTCACTCTGACTCCTACATTAGCAAGGTCTTTTGAAGTGCATACCAAGTTACATCTAAATCCTGCAGCCAAATTATTACACCCTACAGGTAAGGCTGAATAGAAATTCTGCCAAATCTTTGTTTACATTAAATGATGGAAAATTGTGCCAGTTTCAATATAAACATGCACATCATAGCAATGCACACAACATTTTTTGTATGACTTTTAGCAGAAGCTGCCTCCACAAATGTAATATATCGCAGGTTCAGACAAGACTCTACATGAGTTATTTGGGATTTTGGCATCAGAGAACCAGAGTATTAGGATCAACTGCAGGAGATGCAGAAGACTTAAGGATATGATCTATATTTTTTCCTTTAAAATGATCATCACTGGAGAAAACATGATCAAAGGTTAAACATGAATTCCACCTTTGCATTACAAAGTTTGAAGAAAGATACTGAAATAAATAGGTGTGACCTGTTTCTGGAGGGTTATTTTTAGCCTGAATCATTTTAGGCATTTAGTTTATACTTAGGCCTCCCACATTTATATTAATGCAACGTGGGGAGAAGGAATGGCAACCTACAACACAGAAGAAAGGAGCTGAAATGAGGAAGCAAGAATTGTAGGCAGATTTTCATGTAGAATGTAGATTTTACTCACAGAAGTTGCATTCTGTAGTAAGTTTTCTACAGATGAATATAAAGGGACCTGACATTTTAGCATCGGAAACTTTTACATGGTAAGAGTTCTCTTGTAGAGACTGACAGAAAGAATAACTTCAGTAAATAGAGATATTTAAAAGGAAAGAAAAACCTGGTAAGTCAAAAGTGAAACCAAGCTGACCAACAGTGTTGAGGGCATAGGTGGAAACGAATCAGGTTTATAAACACTCCTACAAATAATTTCTGCAAGGTAAATAGTACATTCAAACAGATGAAGTTATTTACATAAGTATCAATGAAACTAACACATGACCATGTAGTTTATAAAAAGTAAAATTAATGTGACATGAAATACAAAATCTAAAGTGCAAATTTTGTCATTAATTTTGGACTATTCCTTCCCTCCTCCCAGTCAAAGGGCAGCCAAACGATATAAACCCAAAAGCATGCACGTCTGGAAATGCAATAAAAACATGAGTTATTTCCCTGTTTGCCTGTCTACAGCTTCTCCTGCAGTTTAAATCTGATTTGGAATATAAAGCATGAATATGCATCGCAGCCGCAAGGCATCAGCAATGAAGCAGCATTTGCTGCTTGTGTTAAACAAACAGCTGATTCTCCTTGCCACTGAGGCCTTGGTATCTCACAGCAGCAAAGAGCCCAGTTACACATCCAGAAACAGCTAATACATCGTATAAGAGGTTATATAACAGATGGCAGTGACAAGTCCACTAAAGTTCACAAACACGCCCGGCTTGCAATGTTAGAGATGCAGAAGTGTGAGATAGTGACAGAATGTCTCTCTAAGCACAAAAGTAGATTTCCTGACTCTTCAGAGAACAAGGAGAGGGAGATTCAGTTAGTTTGGAGGGAAGGGGGATGTTGGTGATAGTTTGTGGTTATTGGTATTAGCTAGTGGACCTTTTACACAAACCATAAAACACTGGGAAATACTCACTAACAGAGATGCCATTCTGTTAAACTTTTGGCATAAGCAGAGCCCTTCCACGTCTATGCATCTAGGAAATTTATGGAAACAGCAGGTAGGATAGTAAGTGAGTCTGTTTAATTATCATTTAGTTTTGCCACAAGCTGCATAACAATAGTTAGGTTCAGCTTGCAGCTTAAGATCTAAAAGGTTATTGAATTTTAAATGAAAGAAGAACAGATATTACAGAAATAACATTACACTACAACAACTGCCAATGAAATCATTAACAATCCGTGAATTGAATTTGTTTCATTCTCTTTCTCATTATTTATTATTTGGGAGACATTTGTTTTAGGGCTTTATTACGTCTCTTAATTTCTTCTTTGTGCCATGAGGCATTTTCCCAACAATGCAAATTAATTTTAATCTTTTCTTCCCCGGTATAATTTCTTTACTAAAGACTGAAAACACTGTGTCATAGTAGCATTATTTACCTGCTAATACTGCCTTTTTAAAAATTTTCTCCTCCAGACAGTGCAACTCAACCACTGTCTTCTATATCAGTCCATTTCTATACTCACCAGCAATATAAATTCAGTTTTTATTCCAAATTTTTTTCTTATCGCTTTAACAGAAAATTGCACATTACAGTATTACAAAATAGTGACTTTTTGGACCAACACTAGTTTTTCAAGCTTGTTTATCAGTGAAGTTTTAAATGGTTTTACTATTAACTAACTAAAATATTTCAGAGCAAGTTGAGAAATGAGTTTCTTTCTAATGATCCTCACCACTGATTACTTGTCCAAACAGCTCCTCTGGGGTATCTCCAAAGAATGGCACACACCCAACAAGAAATTCATAGAGGATGATTCCCATAGCCCACCAGTCCACTGGCTTTCCATAACCCTGCCTCAGTATGACTTCAGGAGCTATGTATTCAGGGGTACCACAGACCTAAAAACAAGAAACAAACATGATGGTAAAAATCAGTGTAATAATACTAATTAAGTCATGTTATTCACACATCTAATTCTTGAAATGTAAAATAATGTAAATGTGAAATACAGAGATATGAAATTCAGTAGGTTTTAGGCTTTTGAGCTTGCATAAATCTAATTGTTTAAATTGTTTACTTTTTTGACATCAATCATTAACATGTCTGTCATGCAAAGGATAGCTTCTTTTGTCGTTTGCTTTAATATGTGGGAGCTCATCCCAGGAAATATTTTAACTTAAACATATCTTTATATTTGCACAAAAGCTATGATGGTTTTATCTTAAGTAACTTCTACAGGGAACAGCTTGTGAGCCACGGTAATGAGGCACGCTTCAAGGCAAATGGGCCATTGCAAGGATTTTAGCACCCGTGGTTGTATGATGCATGTGCTCCACAAGTACTTTGCTGAGACTTCTGCATTCCTTACAAAAACAGCTTTCCATTTGTCTCTCTCACAGACTCACTGGAACACAATTAGGTCGTTCATCTTACTAACAGATGCTAATGCAGAAAGGAAAAATAATCCTAGAACAATCCACAGGACAGCAGTAAAAGTAACTGACATATACAACAGGAACACCAATGCAGAAATAAAAAACAGTTTATACATACATCCTGCTGGCAACACATGACTTAATTCAAACACTCAATGTAGAAAGGAAAACAGTTGCGTCTTACTTGTTTGTCCATGAATTCTCTGGCATCCTTCTCAATGTGCCCCTCATACAGATTGGTAGTCAAACTCATTAGCCCCACCTTAGACAGGCCAAAGTCTGTAAGCTTTATATGGCCCATAGATGTTACCAATAAACTGAAAATTAGAATGATCTCACATTACTGTGATATAATTCAACATTATGCACTATTACAGCAAGAGAAAAATGTTTCATCGGCACCACAGAAATACAAAGACAATTTAACAAGTAATTGTAGCAGGTAGACAACAAAGGTTGAAAATCTGATACTGTCATACATTTGTTACTGCTTTTACTAGATGCAAGCAAACTATTTTTATACCCAATTGAACATCATCTTAAAGGACGACGTGTGGAAATAGTTAAATACATGTAGGTTTATAACATAAAATGTCTTGAACAAAACGAAACAGACATCCTTCTGAAAGATCCTGGACTTATGTAGTTTTTGAAATGAGGCAGGCATTTGCTAGCTAACTTTTTGAAAACAAACAAAAACAAAAAAAAACATATAGTAGGTTAGCTGCTAACTAATATTACAGTGACAGGAAGTATTATGCTATGAAGGTGTTTTTGGTCAGCAGACATGATCCCAATTATTTTTTTAATATGGGACAGAGAGAAGATTAATGGAGACACAGCAATTACACCAATCTCTACAGCTCCTTGCTGTAATGTTATTTACACATACAGAAGAGAGACTCTATTTCTAAACTTTGCAAAAAACATGCAGCAAGAACCATTTCCCATCAGATTGAGCTGTTCTTTATCTAAGATATCTAAGTTGATGGCATTTTGTATTAAGCAGCATTCTAAGAATATTTTAAAAGATTTTTTTTTTCTTAATGGATAAAAATGTATTTCCCTTCATTCCAACTATTTTTTTCTGTACCTACTCTGATACCTTTCCCATCTTAAAGGACTTTAAAAGAACACTTTTGGAAAAACACATTCTCTGTAACTGCAAGTAATGAAAATTCCTAAGTTGTGCAGAAATTGTGAATTTATATAGCATTCACAGTGAAAAACTCTGCATTTTACATAACAAAACGATACTCCTTATTTAACAATTTCCAAGTTTTCTTATGGTTGTATTCCTTATACGTACTTGTCTGGTTTCAAATCCCTGTGTACAATTCCATAATTATGAAGGTATTCCAAAGCCAGAACAGTCTCTGCAAAGTACATCCTTGCCATGTCCACAGGTAAGGGACCCATATTCTTCATCAAAGTCGCACAGTCTCCACCTGTGAACAAACATGCCAGACTGTGCTATAAATGGAGGTGATCAACACAACCTGTACGTGCTGCAGAAGCAGGCATGCATGTCATTAACGCTTATTTTTCAGCCAGATCATTTCCACGATCCAGTTTTCTATGTAGCCACACCAACCTTGTACTGACAAAAGGTGGGAGTGACTGGTACAAGGTTCAGCTAGAAATCAATTAAGCCTGCAGTGCCACTGAAAAATAACCACAAAACCCAAACAACCACAGCTTGGGTATTTCATCTCCCACTTTCTCTGTGCTCTCCTTCAACAGTAGCACCTTTTCAAATCGTTTCAACTTTTCTCTTTTAAAAATCACTTATTGTAAATACCCAAAGACTCACTGATGAAAATTTGAAATCCAGAAAGGCAAACAGCATTTTCACATGAACTTCAAATGCTGGGACACTTATGATTATATTCTATATCAACCTTATTGAAGGAGCAGTTGCTTCCCATTATAGTTGTAGCATAAGTGTTTTTTACGAGCTCCCACCAGTAGATAACAACTGGGTAGAAAGTCATCCTGGTTTTGTTTTGGATTTAGATCCTAAACCAGTATCACCAGAGCACAGATGACACACAGGAGGCCCTTCTAGATGCAAATACCATCTGCATTATTTTTTTCATGGTGTTAGAAAGCCCTGTTCTTCCACATTAAATGAAAACACATATTTTACCTTCTACATATTCCATGACCATACATAAATGGCGTCTTGTTTCAAAGGAGCAATACATGCTGACAACAAATGGATTTTCTGCAAATGTCAAGATATCCCGCTCAACGAAAGCCTGTTGGATCTGGTTTCGGAGGATGAGATTCTGCTTGTTAATTTTCTTCATGGCAAATCTTTGTCTGGTTTCCTTATGTCTCACAAAATAAACAGCACTGAAGAAGATCAAATTGGGGTGAGTAACTATTAAAAACTTATTTTAAAATAATTTGTAAAAATAGGCATATATATCTTAAGATGCTGTATAGCTATTATATAAAAAAGGCTTTAGTTTAACACAGCTGACAAGTATTTTGCTTATGAGAATAGCTCAAGACTTCATTTTGTTTCATCACCAAGATAATTCTCAGTCAACACCTTAGCACATGAGTTAATAACAAACAATCCACAAACAAAACCAACAAAAAAAGAAGAAATAAAAAGCTCTGAACAAACATTGCACATGCTCTCAGCCCATATAGATTCTGGGCGTCTCCACCAACAAAGGATTATGTACAAGAAGAAAGGTCTATGACAATGTTATAAATCATGCTGACAAACACTCATTCTGCAAGTATGGTATCATATAATTATGATTCAGACACTACCCAGGGGATTTTAACATTTGTCACAGGCTTCTCCTGCAGGTTTCATCTGCAACCTCATAAGTTGCTCAACGGGTGACTCCTTTATTGCCAGGTGCAAAAGGCATCATCCTCTGTACTTGTTCAGGCCTCGGCACCAGCATCGAACTGTACTGGGGCAGGTCACCACTAGGTAATTTGAAATAAAGATTGCTGCATTAACTACACAGCAACATGTTATGCTGCATCTTGATACGCAGAACTTCCTCTGGGAAATCAGGAATAAAGTTTTCTACAAGCTTGGTTAGATCAGGTCAAGGCAATGGGGGAAAAAGGGTGGAAGAAAGCCTCACACAACCTTTACTTGCCATGCTCAGGAAAAGAAGTCACCCTGCCACAAAACATTGACCCAGGACATGACTGCTGCATTTCTCACAACCCCTCAAAGCAAATCCTGAAAATGCCTGTCTTGCTCAAAATCTACTTTGCATCATTTAATGCTTGCAGCAGCTCCAGTAGATGATTACCACAGTAGTGTTTGTGGAAAGAGAGAAAATTGGGAGGAAAAAAATGGGACTCAATTATGTAGTTTTAAAATTCAATCCGTTGTTCCCATGAGGTCCAGTTATCAGCATACAGTTACTTAAATGAAAAAGGGGATTCTTGCCTTAAAGATTTTTATGAAGATCTCCACACAGCTGCCATTACAGCTGCTGAAAGAAAAAAAAAAGAAAAGAAAAAAAGGAAAAAAAAGAAAAGGAAATAAAGAAGAAAAAAAAACACAAGATCTTCTGTTTGTCTGCATGAAGTACTTTCCTTGACGAGAAAAGTTCTCTAATTGAGTCCATAGGCTTTCATTAATCCCTTTCTCTTATCTGAGAGTAGGGCAGGTGACAGGCATTACACATTATGAAACTAGGGGAAAAACACCTTGGGCAAAACCCAAGACAAAGCCCACCCTCAGCACCTCTTACATAGCCTGGCTCCCTCACATCCCTCCCAAGCTCAAGAAAAAAAAAAAAACTAGTTAATGAACTCAGCAGTTAAGCTCTCCTCCCTGCTGGCTCCAAGCCTTCTGCCTGCACCTCTTCTCACCCCTTCCCTCCCATGCATCTCTCTCCTCCATCCCTTTCTTACAACGCTTTTCCTTTGCTTTCCTGCATATTCCATACTTACACTTTCTTTCATTGGTCTCTCCCCTGCCAGTCACTCACAGCTTCTTAATTTCTTGAAATTTTGTCTTCTCTCTAGTCATGGCTCTTGGCTTGCTCTTGAAATATAGAGGAGTGAGCCTTTTGGGTGTCTAAAGCCTTGATCCATCAAAAAATGTTTTATGAACCCACTGAACTTAGCAGATTTCTGGGCAAGCAGCTCCCTGGCAGCCTAGGGCTCTGAGTGCACAGATTTCTCCAAGCTTTAATTTGGACATCATGTCAAGATGAACTTTTGAAAGACAGCTATTAGCAAGTGCATATCAATACTGCATCTTTATAATTCCTTTGTCATTACTACCATATTCCATGATGAACCACCAGTAAGGCTGAACTATTCAACCATTCCCTACATATACGTGTTAGTCATGTCTCTCCAGGTCTCTAAAATGCATTCCTCAGTCTCTTAATCATGGGAAGATAACTGTATATATTTACACCAGAATTCAGCAATCCACAAAACCTCAGGAAAAGAAAAAGAAAAAAAAAGTGCATCAGAATCACAAGAAGATGTCATCATCTCTCTCACACATGTATATGTACATACACAGCTTATCCTGGACAAAATTATTTTAAATTTATTTACCCTCAACAGAGTTAAGTCTATAGCATTATAGCATTTCTTATTTGCATTCTTCTCTGTGTACTGCAAAGCAAAGAAGATTTATGCTTTGCAGAGAAAACTGCCCAAGACAGCAGCACATGACTCCTGCTGATCCGTTCTTTCAAGAACATCCTCCAACTTCACAGCACTTAAGCCATTCCCCCAACCTACCAGTACTCTAAGCAAATCGTAATAACTGCATCCTGTATTTACTGAGCACAAGTGCCTGGTAATACTGGGAACAGTCCTCACACAAAAAGAAAGCTCAGTGAAGGGCGTTTGTTAGTTTTCAGTGGTTCTGTCCAGCTATTTTGGAAAGAGATGCCATCTCACTTTCTACTTCCTTGCTAATTCCTTCCACCTTCTCAAAAGGTCAGAGATGTGATTGGCAATATCAATGAAACTAAATGAAACTAATGAAACTAAGGCAGCATCGAGGAAAACCCGCTGTCCAAGCCCTTTGCTTTGCAAAGAGTGTCCAGAGCACAGGCAAACCTCACTCAGCTTCTCCGCCTTGGTCACTAATTGCTCAGCTCACGACTCTCAGTGTATTATAAAGACAACTGTAATTCCAGGAATCCTTTAACACAAAAACAATATGTTCTTCCCAGGACACTGAATTACCCTGTCAAACCCATTCAATCACAGCAATCCAGCGCCTTTGCCTGTGAAACTGCAGAGCAGCTCTGTACTGGCCTCCTGTTTTCTAACAAATGATTTGCTTTCTCAGCTCACCCTCGCTATTTACATAAAACGGCTAAGGGATTTCTAAAACCATTCCTGCAAGTTCCCTGTACAGGCCTCAACACGTACACTAATATCCTCACATTTATCGATCTCATATTTCATCACGAACTTACATTTCAAGTGAAATCCATTCATAAACTCTGGTATTGTCCAAATACGGCTTCCTTTCATAGAATCATAGAATGCTTAAGGTTGGAAGGGACCTCTAGAGATCATCTAGTCCAACCCCCCTGCATACGCAGGGTCACCTAGAGCACGTGGCACAGGACTGCGTCCAAGCGGGTTTGGAAGATCTCCAGAGAAGAAGACTCCACAACCTCTATGGGCAGCCTGTTCCAGAGCTCTGTCACCCTCACTGTTAAAAAAATTTTCCTTAAGTTCCTCTGGAACTTTTGGTGCTTCAGTTTGTGGCCATTTAGTTCTGTCGGTGGCCACCAGGGAAAAGAGGCCAGCACCATCCTCCTCACTGCCTCCCTTGAGGTACTTAGAGACACAGATCAGGTCCCCTCTCTGCCTTCTCTTCTCCAGGCTGAACAGGCCCAGCTCCCTCAGTCTCTCCTCATAGGGCAGATGCTCCAGGCCCCTGATCATCCTTGTAGCCCTGCGCTGGACTCTCTCCAGCAGCTCCACATCCCTCTTGTATTGGGGGGCCCAGAACTGGACACAGCACTCTAGATGTGGCCTCACCAGGGCTGAGTAGAGGGGCAGGATCCTCTCCCTTGACCTGCTGGAGACGCTTTCCTTAACGCACCCCAGGATCCCATTGGCCTTCTTGGCCACAAGGGCACACTGCTGCCTCATGGTCACCTTGTCATCCACCATGACACCCAGGTCCCTCTCTGCAGAGCTGCTCTCCAGAAGGTCAGTCCCCAGCCTGTACTGGTGTCTGGGGTTATTCCTCCCCAGGTGCAGGACCTTGCACTTGGCCTTGTTGAATT